ATGTAGAAAAGGAGATAAGTATTTGCATGGAATCTTAAGGAAGGAAAAATACAAGTACAAGGAAATGATAAAGACTGAAATTCTGTATAAGAAATGGGTTATCAAAGTTATGAGAATACAATTAAGATTAATATATAGAGATGAGTATAGATGATAAGACAAGAGTATGAGAATATGAAAAGAAAGATATGATTTGTGTATAAGGAATAAATAAAGGAGAAATGGAATAAAGAAATGAAATGGATTGAGGTTATGAGTTACTGTGTTTATGATAAGTAACAGAAAATAAATGTATAAAGGAAAAATAAAATTGAAGAAATACAGGACGGAAAAAGTAAGTAAATGAGGTAACATGAGAACAATAGAAGATATGTTCTTATTTATTTGTTCAGTGAAAATTCGAGGACGAATTTTCTTTAAAGGAGGGGAGATTTGTAACATCCTCAATACCGGGTTAGTGACCAAATTATAAAGTTTTAGAAATTGGTGATTAAAGTATGATAATTGAATAGTTCAATGATTTATTGGAAATATGATGAAGGTTATTCAGTAATTATTAAAGGAAATAAAGGGTAAATTGGTCATTTGACCAGAAAGATTTTTATCTTTCTTTTAGGGTTATAAAACACGTGGAAGGGTGATAAGAAAAGAAAAGTCTGGAGCTTGGGGTTATCTTCTTCCTCTTCTCTTCCCGTAAGCTCCATGGCAAAGGTAAGTTTAATTTCAGTTGGTTAATTCTTGAGTTTTAAGCTTAGTTTTGATTCTTGGGGTGCTAAGAAAGATTATTTAGATATTAAAGTATATTGAAACTTCAAAATGGATGAGTTAGGGAGGATTAAATATGAAGAGTTTTTAAGAGAATTATTGAAAAAAAAGGAGTAAATAGATTTTGAAGATGGATTTGACTTGTCAAGGGTATAATTAAGAAGCTAGAAGCAATAGAATTGAATTTGGAACATGTTGAAAATTTAGTGTAATTCTTGAATTTCATATGGAGAATAGGATTTTGATGTTAAAGAGGTGATTAATGAATAGGAATGAGTTTGAATATGAGTATGTAAGTTAAAAATAAGAAAGGGGATGATATATGAAGTATTAAGCTGAAAAGAGTGGATTTTCGGGCATAAAAGAGGATTTTGGGCAGAGTGCATCGATGCACATTCATAGTGCATCGATGCATCAAGGTTAAAACCCAGAAATTATTTGAAGGTGTATCGATGCATTGGTAATGCATCGATGCACTCTTTTAAAATAGAAACATCGAATGCAATTAGTGCATCGATGCATAAGGCATGCATCGATGCATCCCAATAATAATACAACATTGAATGCATTTTATACACCGATGCATCAGTAGTGCATCGATGCATACCTTCATTAAAAGATGAAATTGGCTTTTCTCTGAGCCTAAGGAGTGATAGTTTCGAATATATCAATCAGTATACTGATAAGTATTAATGTATTATTATGTAGATATAGAATGAAAGCTTGTTCCGGAATAAACTAAGGATTAGGATTGATTCAAACAACGAGGCCCAGGTGAGTACATCTTATTGTATAAGATTATATGGAAATTGGACTTGTGATAAGTCTATTCCTATAGTAATAGCTCATTAAGTCTTGATTATAAGTATGTTAACGATATGAAGTGTATGTATATTTGATTATATGAATTGATAGGTTTTGTTTTGTATGTGCTATGTGGTTTATGTAAAAATACGGTTAAGTGTAATGAGAGAATATAAATAAGTTATGAAATTATATGGATATAGAAGATAAGTCAGAGATGTAGGGAAATGGAAATAGATGTTTATAAAGAGTCATAGGAGAACAAATATAAGTAATATGATAATGAAATATAAGACTATGTGAATACATGGTTATGAGATAAAGATGTAAGAATAGGAAATATGATGAGAGTGAGTTCATGAGAAGTGATATGAACTAGGTAAACATGAGTTGGACAAGTACATAGTGATATGATCCATCATGGGAATTAGTATAATAGAGATTTTGATTTAATGAGAGTTAAGGGAACTAAATAAGATTGAATTATAGAATGAAATGAGAATAATATATCAATTAGGAAACTTGAATATAAAGGGACGATATGAATATGCAAGATAAGTTATATGCTAAATATCTATGGAGCTATATGAAAAGATTATAATGAAATTATGAAATTGAATTAAATAAATAGATTAAATTATTACCTAAATAAAAATACTATTAAATGATATATATATTTAGAAATACGATATAAGCTATGTGAAAGTGTTATAGGTGTTTCTATATGTTATAGGAAGTATATGATCATATGTGAACAAGATATGATAAGTATGTTTACATGAATAAATGTGATTGGGTGAGAAATGATAGAAATTATATGAAAACAGGTATATGTGAATTAGCTTTGTAATTAGGTAAATATATGAAATCATAACTATGAATTATGTGATGTGAAAGTAATCTATGTGATTATATGTTATATGAATACAAGAACATGAGATATGTGACCTGTGAATTATATGGAAATGATCTACGTGTAAGTGAACTATGTGACAATATGAAAAGAAGCTATGTGATACGGGATATGTGAAAGTGAATTACATGTTTATGTGAATATTTGAAATGAAATAAATGATAATGCCCATGTTATGTGTCATGAGAGCTAGGGTATAGTTGGCATGCCAAGAGTCGAGGGTCTACGTGGTCCTTCGGGATATATATATATTCTTTGGAACATGTGTGAAGTCTTGTGAGACACATACTTGATCCCTGGTATATGTATATGATTCTTAAGGAATGATATGTGGTCCTTAAGGAATGATATGTGGTCCTTATGGACATTATTATATGGCACTACGGTGCAATTCTACGTGCACTTCGGTGCAATGATACGAGCTGTGGTGACAACATTAGTGCACAACCTCTATAGACTCACATATCGATAGTTCTCACAAGTGTACCATGGGCTAATGAAAGAGATAACATAAATACAATATATATAATGTATATGCTTTTGGTGAAATGATATATGAGTGATATGATATACAGAAATGATAAGTACAAGATTATGTGATAAATAATTCGATGATAATGATAGAGATAATGATAATAATATATATGATAATGCTAAGAAAGTAGATGATGATATATGTACATGAGTGTCTTTGTTATATAAAAAGGTATATGATTTTGTATGATAAGTTAGTATTAAATGTTCATGTGTTTTGTTATATGGGATGTTTTTATGATTTCTATTATATGTTTTATTTGTCTCACTAAGTCATCGACTTAGCGTGTGATTGTTTCACACGTAGGTTCGAGAAGAATATAGAGAGCAATATGGAGCAAGACAGGTCAGTTACTTCTTACCGAAGATCAGATCAGAAAAGATGTTTTGAATTAGATGTATATTGTACATTGAAAATGGTTGGCATGTAAATAAATGTCTGAATTGTATATGCACTGAACGGTTTTGCAAAAACATTTAAGCTCTGAATAGTTCTGGAAATCTTTTGAATAAGCTACATGTATAAAAGTTTTAAATTACTCACTATTTTATACAAGTGAATGTTTTGAAAAGTCAATGTGACACCTCGGACTCGAATCCAGGTCGGGTACGGGTTGGGGGTGTTACACTTTCACTAAAAGAACACCATTGTTGTCCTTAATACACCTAATGCTACCTAGATCCTTTTTCCTATTCTCCCTGGATTTTGCAAGTCTGAAGATGTCGTTTTGTCCTTCCTTGGTGTCTAATCTCTTGTATATTTCCTCGTATGCCTTTTTCTTTGCTTTAGCCACCGTTTTCTTGGCTTCCCGCTTTGCTTCCTTGTATATTTGGTTAGCTCTCGATCTTTCTTCGTCGTCATTGTATTGTAGAAACTCCTTGAAGCAAGTTTGCTTTGTCTTCACCTTAGTTTGGACTTCGTCGTTCCACCACCACGATTCTTTATGCTCCTTGACCTTCCCTGGCCTTACCTGAGTGCAGAACGGAAGTAGTTGATCCACTCTCTAGATTCGAACTGGCCGCCCTCTCATCGTAGGGGACTTGTGAACGAAGTAAACAAACAAGGGTGGAGACTCAACAATGCTTTCCTGCATCAAGCTACTTTATCTTTTTCTTTCAAGAAAGTACATACACAGATTAAAGAGGAGGTCAAGGCCTGAGTCTATTGACTGTAAAGAATAGCGCTTAATTAACAGCACAAAGGGTGGAAATTTTGCAAGCCCTTCCGTAACAGAACTAGCACCGCTTATTTTGACAACAGGGAATGATTTCACAGTTACTTTATCTATAACACCGGCAATGAACTCACCAGAAAGTCAAGTCATCTGTCCCAGAGCCTATGATTGCAAAGAAGACCTAGTCTGATTAACTGACTTCAACCTATTTAAAAGCAAAACAGCTGATACGATCACACCAAGAAATACATGATTAAAGTAAATTAGATATAAATAAATCATTATGAATAAATAAAACTATTGAAAATTAATTAAAAATCAGTTAAACATGGGGGAAAACTATATACTGTACTTAAATGTTATGGAATCGATTGATTGATAGATTGAACAACCAAATTGATTTTGGAGCATTAGGCATGTGAGCACAGCTGTCACGGTGAGTACCCCAAAGGCGCGTCAACTCAAGTTTGGGGTTATGAAAATATTTTGCATTTAGATAATGGCATCCCGTAACTCTCAAACATTCATAAACAGTTGATATTTTCCCTGTTACCGAAGCCTTAAAAACCATGCAAATCGTGCTTACTACACGAACAACAATAATAAATTAGTAATCAAAGCAAGATATGAAGCCAAAATCAAGTGGTAAAATCACATTATTTAAGCTGTTTTAATCGTAAACCTCCCCCGCTGCCCTTGACTCACGTAAAATTGCACTGTCCCATGACTATGGGGTGCTAATTGTAGCCCATTCCACAGACCAATCTTCTTCATTACCCCAACTTCCATGGCCGCACCCCAAAGCTACGCATCACCCTTTTTTTTTACTCCTTCAACCCCCTTGATCTTGCCACGTGCTTACCTTCCTTCTTCTCTTTTCTGGGTCTTGTTTGAAAATGGCTGAAACCTGAGCATGATTCGACCATCTCTGTGAAAAGCCATGGATCAACTGTTACCTTTACTTTTAGTTTCGTTTTCTATCTTGCTTCTTAATCAACCAGCCATGTCTTTGCTGCCAAACCAGTGCAATGACAAATGCGGCAGTCTTCACATCCCATTTCCATTTCATTTAAACGCTTCTTGTCCTTCAATTTCCACAGTTTTCCGTCTTTCGTGTTTGAATTCCACTACCCTTTACCTTCATATCGGCACTGAAACCTATCGAGTTCTCGATTTCTTCTCCGACGGTGTACTTGTCGACTTCCCCGGAACCACCGGTTGCCGTCAGTACAACGACTTGAACGCCTTCGGTTTTACGAAAAACAACTACTTTGGCATCTCCAGCGACAACGTCATAGGTCTATATGATTGTGAAGACTCTTCCTTGTGTAAAGCAGGTTGTGAAACAAACGACTTACCCGGGTGTGATGGCAACTATAGTGGATCTCTTGCATGCTGTTATTCACTTTCCGATCATAGCATTTGGCATTCCGGTGATGGGCTTTCGAGCTTTTCCAAGTTCGGGTGCAGAGGATTTTCATCATGGCTAGTTTCCCGGGGATCCAACACCGGAAAACGTGGGGTTAAGTTGGAATGGGCGGTTCCTAGAAATTCATCCGATACAGTTTGTGCTAGTGATGCAGATATGGTGAATGCCACTGCAGTTGAAGCAGCGGTCAGGTGCTTGTGCAAGGATGGCTTCGTCGGTGATGGGTTTGCTGATGGAGCTGGATGCTACAAGTGTGAGTAGTCCAATCTTTATTTTTTGAGTAATCAAATTAGGTTGATTTGTAGTTAAATGATCAGAGCGTCATTTGCCATCTTTTGTATCTGCCATTGACAGCCTGCATCAAAGAGGGGCAAGAAGCATATGGGGAGGAGTGTAACAGTCCAAAGCATAGTCAAAGGAAGCTTGTAATTTTGGCTGGTATGTTATTATGAGATTGATCATTTTGTTAAACATTATCCTTATTTAGCTTGCTGTAAGAATTGATATCTTACTACATTTGCCATGTAGGTGTTTTTGCTCCGGTTTTCATCCTTGCGTCCTTGTTCTTATTCCTCTGCATAGTGAGACGACCGGTTAAACCTGGTGCTTTTCACCTAGAACAAACTCATTATCACGGTACCGCTTCATTTCGGAAAACTTGTAGAACTAGATTGTTTACTTACAGAGAGCTAGAAGAAGCAACCAGAGCATTCGTAGAAAGTCAGAAGCTCGTAAATGGAGCAAACGGTACAATTCATGCTGGCGTCCTTGGGGATGGCTCGCATATAGCTGTGCAGAAGGTGCAGTGTGAGACTGAAAGAGACTTAATCGATGTCCTATCAAGAATCGAGCTTCTATCATCTGTTTTACATAGGAATTTAGCTCGACTCCTCGGATGTTGCATCGAGTCTGGTTACACCATATTGGTGGTGTATGAATATCCAGCGAATGGCACCTTGGAGGAACATCTGCAAAATAGCAGAGGACAAAAATTCGGCCTTGACTGGTACAAGAGGCTGAGCATAGCTGCTGGAACTGCAGGCATCCTAGCATACTTGCAGTGTGAGATTTCTCCACCGATCTTTCACTGTGGCCTCAAAGCATCCGGCTACATATTTCTTGATGTGGATTTCTCAGTTAAGGTTTCCAGCTTTGCATGCTTAGCTCTGGGTCCAGCGACGGTTCAATTTTACACAACCATGGACCTCCCCACAAAAACGATGTTTACGATTTTGGTCTGTTATTGTTGGAGATAATTTCAGGCACCAACTATTCAGACATGCCAAGGATAGTCATGGAAAAAATCAAAAGTGGGAAGCTAGAAGAAATTGTGGATCCATCTCTCTACTACCACGAGCAGCCGATTGCTCGCAGAGAACAAATAGAAATAGTAGCAGACGTAGCAACCAGATGCTTATTGTTCGGTGGAGATGGCAAAATCAGAATGATTGATGTCGCGAGGGAGCTGATTCACCTCGTAAAAGAAAACAATAGAGGAAGCAAAAGGGGACCTGCATTGGAAGAAACATTCTCAAATTCAAGCCTGCTTCAGATGATATCCATGTCTCCTGACTCTATACACCTGCCTTGAAATTTCATCTGTTCATAAAAAAAAATCCCACTCAAGGATTTTCAAATTAGTCCATTTCAGCTGCAAGTGTTCCAAGTTACCTGCATTCACTTCTGATTGCATATGTATACAGATTATATGTACATCTAGTGGATTCAGAACTTATTTTTGATGAAATCACGTAACTTGCTGGTTCTACATAATGTATCATGAACATGATTGTGCTTGTCTTTTCAAAACCATCAATTTTTTAGGAGTAATTAGCAGAAAATTAGGAGTAGGCAAATTTTTAACAGAAAATTAAATATATTTACCAGTAAAAGCCTAGCCAGAGAAAGAAAGGAAGAGAAGAGAAGATGAATCATTGGGCAAAATCCTTAAATTAAACCCCTTTTTTCCTTAACGACAGACACGATGTAATTGCATGCCTTAAAGCATTGACCAACTGTTTTGTTTCCTGTTCTATCTTTCAACACCTCCTTATGCTATAAATACTTGCACTACAACAAAATTGTTCTTTAGCGGCGTTTTTTTAGTTCTATAGCGGCGATAGAAAAAACGCCGTAAGAAGCGTCGGCAATACCAGCGCCGCTAAAGGTAGCGGCGTTTGAGAACCAAAAACGCCGCAATAGGTTAAGATCTATAGCGGCGTTTTTGGAACAAACGCCGCAATAGGTCAAGATCTATAGTGGCGTTTTGGAACAAACGCCGCAAAAGGTTGATATCTATAGCGACGTTTTTGGAACAAACGGCGCAATAGGTCAGATATATAGCAGCGTTTCTTGGAACAAACGCTGTAAAAGGTCAGATCTATAGCGGCGTTTTTGGAACAAACACCGCAAAAGGGTGATATCTATAGAGGCATTTTTGGAACAAACGCCGCAATAGGTCAGATCTATAGCGGCGTTTTTTGGAACAAACACTGTAAAAGATCAGATATATAGCGGCGTTTTTGGATACAAACGCCGCTAATTTCTTTTTTTTAGCTTAGATTAATTGATTTTGCATATTTGATTTATGCAATACATCACCTAAATTTAATATCATGTAGCTTTATCTAATTAACAATAACTATAAATTTTAATTAAAACACAAATTATGCAGAAAAATACTTAACAACAAAATAAATTAAAATTTATAAACATTAATATAACAAAAATACATACAAATGTATACATGTGTTACTATACTAGAAACAAAAAGCAAACTAGTTGCATGTGTATTTCACGCTTCCACTTATAACCCTAATATACAATGGAATTATTTCCCAACTTCTCGCTATGTACACCCAATAATCAAATTGCACTTTGCAAGCACCGTAGGTTATCTTTACCATCCCAAGAATCAATTTTGTAAGATCCATTTTCCAAGTGCAGAGTTCCAACTATACTTAGTGAATCCTGCTTGAGGCTCAGCTACATACCTTGAGATCCACATTTGAGCATGAACGCAAGACAGAACTAAGCTCAGGATCTGAACGAATATTGCGCCATTTTCCAGTACCATGCTTAAGAACTCCTGCCTTGAGTGCAGCTTCTTCTTCCGCTGTCCACCTGCAGATGCATAATAAGACATAAATATAAGCAACCAAAATAATGGAATTTATTGAGCAGACATTCTACTTATATTTTTACCAAGTAAAGGAAACTTTCATCATATAACAGGGTATTCATTATGCTAAGTTAAGCGCGCTCAGCTGAATTTAAAATTATAATGTGGCTTCAGATTATTTACCTGGATGTAACTAGAACCAATAAGGCACCATTTCCCATTTGAAACCGAGACCTGAAGTCTTTACCCTTTACAAGGGAAAAAAAGTTAAAAAAATAAAAGACTCATATTTTATGACAGCAAGCCCAAGCCACCACATAAATTTTGTTTACAAGCACAAAAATAATGATGAATAAACTCAAAAACAATCAGAATGCCAGGTATGACACTTGCAATGACACAGAGAGAAATATACAAGGATGAAAGCCAATTAGGTAAGATATAATACAGGTTAAGAGTGATCGGCCTTGTAATCCAAGTTGAACATGCCATGCGACATATTAGGCTCATTTGTGAGATGGAACAAGAAACAAAAAACTATCAATGTGTTTACACAAGAAAAACATATACTCTGCAACTAAACAAGAAAGAAAAAGACTAAATGATATATGAAAACATGATTTACTTGAGCATTAGCCTTCACAATAAGATTGTCTGTCAAATCCCATTTCACTCTTGCATTGAGTCTACCATCGGTTAGCACCCTCCCAATAAGCATCAACTAGAAGACCATAATTGATCCTACTTATAACTTGATTTATTAAGATAAAAGAATTGAGGACAAGAGGGTGAACGGGAAGAGTAGAGATAATGAGAGAAGCCACCTACATTAGGGTCAATGAAGTTGGCACCAAACTCATAGTGAGATGTGGGAATTTTAATGGTTTTGGCACAACTTAAACTGACACAGGCTAAAGCTACTGATAGAGAAATTACCTGTTACACAAGAAATTTCCAAAATGATAGGAAAGAACACAGTCAAAGAACTCCACTAGGAAAGCCTAAACCACCACAAAGCAAGAAAGTCAATAACTATGGGAAAATACAGAGAGGTCAACGTTACAAAAAATGTATTATATTTGATATGACAAGAAATTAATGTCATGCATAAAAGGAAGATGCATACTGAGGAGAACTCAAAAGCAAATGGATATATCCTTAACAACTGGGAAACGAAATCAACCCACTGCAACACAATCAGATCTCAAATTAATCAGTGAACTGAAATTATACTGATTAATTAACAATCAGAAAATAATATGATATTTATTATTTACATGTTTCATGAGAAATTGAAGCGTCCAAAGATTTTTAGTGAAAATACAAACGTTCTCTACTAGTTTGGAAAAGTCCTTTAAACAAAAAAACATGGAATTAAAAAATCCATTTTGTATCTAATTTTCAGCATATTTCATTAACCTTTTAACGGTTCTTTCATGTTATTTCTTGCTAAAGGAAAATAAAATGTGTTTAAAACTAAAAGAAGGAATCTTCTACCACATAATTATAATAATTTTCCCTTATAAAATCACAATTCCATTAGTTGTGAAAATTATCTACAATGAAAACAACTTCAGTGAAAATATGAGAGAGAATAAAAACATCATGCATTGTCAAGAACAAGAAATACCTTCAAGGGAACAAGCTTGAGTACAAACTGGTCTCCATACAGGAGTACCATTCCTTCTTTTCTTTTTGTCCATCATGCCTAGGTTATCTTTTGTCCCACCTATCCACAAATCAAGGCTCAATTTTTCATAAAAATATTTTCCCTGTAATGAATTGATATAACTTTAATGAACCTTGCAACCATGCAAATTTCATCTTTCCACCTCTACAACATTTATGGTCTAACCAATTTTAACAGAGTTTAAGCAGAAAGGAAAGCATACATCCAGATGCCTTTTTTCTATAGCATAAGAAAACTCGGATAGGAAAATGCAGATCAAACACTAAATTTAGAGAGAGAAAAGAATTTATGTGACATGAGTCCAAATTGTTTTACTTTTCCAAACTTAATGGGCCTTATACCTATTCAACCTAGCGACCAATCATAGACTTCCTTGGTGAACCAAAAGTTCAATATATCTTTCAAATGAAATAAAGTACTTCAAAATCCTTCACAGACAAAACAAAAAAGATCAACCTAACATAATTGAGACGGAAAAAAATAAGTAAATCACGTTGCTGATATAAAGAAATCTCAAAAAGCATGCGAGTCAAAGTTTAATGGCTACCAAGCTTACCATTTTTTGCGAACACAACATCTAGGTTTCTAACATTGTTTGAGTCTTATCGAAGCTATGGCCTATACCATAAAGTTTACTTGATTATCACTTTAAACACACACATAAATCATCGTTTCACCCTCAAAAGACACCTCTGCAAATGGAGCCACATCAACCAAAGCAAGCATACCAGTGACATGGAAGACTCAAGGGTAGAATACAATGTAAATGTTTGCAATAAGGTCTTATACTTAAGATGATTGCACTACCTTACATAAAGATTTAAAAAGAATCTTAAAACAAAGCTTAAAGGGGAATAAACATGAAATTGTTATGCTCTTAAGTCTTAACACATTCATAGGGATAAAAACCTGAAAGTAGTTAACCGGCTTGGTTTGAAATAAGTATTTGTGGACTTCAACAAATGGTCAACTCTGCATAGATAATAATTACCGAATTAACACATTATTTATTAAAAAAATAAATGTTTCAACGATTGAAAGCTTCATTTTTCATTTATTTCATCTGTTCCTGGCTTGAATCATTAACTTTACCCTGCTAAGATACTGAAACATAAACAACGGTGTGAATATTGAAAATAGTGTACATAAAATGCTTAGCAGACATGAAAATACAATAAATAAAGGACGCATGTAAGGTTTCAAACTAAACCTTGAGAATGAGAAAACCCAATTCTGAATTTTCATTTTACTTCGAAAAGAAACCTGACATGGACAATTTTAAATCTAAAGTTCTCTCCTTTTAATTATTTTTAGCTTGTAGGTAGGGTTTTTCTTGTTTACTGAGTTTAATTATTTTTTCCCTTCTCAGTTTCTCAGTAAACAAACAGGGGGTTAAGTAAAAGAAGCTTACCTGAAAAGAGACTTGCAAGCTAACATTCGATTTTTTTTCTGGCTCTGCTCCTCCTTATCCTTTGAACTTCAAGTTTTTGAGGGTTTTCGAGGATTATTGCTACGAGATTTTAAAAATTAGCTTAGGTTGAAGATCAAAACAGCCGCGAGAGTGAGGGTAAAGCACAAGAACAAATGTTGCAAACATTGGGTTTCAATTTCAAGAGAGATGCTTCGATTAGGGGTTTATGTTTAACTTCTGGCGGGACATCAAAAATAGGTGAAATGGGAAAAATGAAAAAGGTTAAAAGGGTTGGGATTTAAAAATTGTAAACTTGCGGCGTTTGTTAAACAAACGCCACTAAAACATGAGTCTATAGCGGCGTTTGTATAAAAACGCCACTAAAGTACAAGTCTTTAGTGGCGTTTGTATAAAAACCCACTAAGGTATGAGTCTATAGCGGCGTTTGTAAACACAAACGCCACTAAATCACGATTCTATAGCGGCGTTTGTATAAAAACGCCACTAAATGTATGAGTCTTTAGCGGCGTTTTTATGAAAACGCCACTAAAGTACAGTCTTTAACAGCGTTTTTACAGAAACGCCACT